GCGGTGGCAATGCTCTCATTCCTGCTTAGGGGGGCGGTGGCAATGCTCTCATTCCTGCTTAGGGGGGCTACAACATTGCTGTTGCCTGTTTCCCAACTTAAAACGGTCACTATTCTCCACAGGCCATTAGGTGTGTTATATCAGCCCCAGTCTTACTAAGCATAGACCTCTCCTGACTGACACTGACAGTCAATTTTTGCAGCTCGTGCCTTTAATTTTCTCTCTCATTGAAACCAATCCTGTAGTGTAAAGCACTCAAGATTGCACTAAACTAAAGGTCTGGGCCTATGCAACACAAGTTTTTCAATGCAGGCAAACTGGACTCTCTATGGCCAGCCAACTCCCCTGGCCAGCTACATTCTTTTCAGGCTGATTTCTACTATTTATTCCATGTGCAAAAGAGTCTGTTGGAGACAGACCTACATAACAGTTAACACAGGCTAAAACAGACAGGTCTAGTACCTAACACAGGCCTATATAACACAGACCTTACACAGGCACAAGCCTAACAGTTCTTGCGGGAAAGTGTGTAGGTTTGGGAATTGGGCCCTTCCCTGGGAATAGATGGAAATGAGTTGTACTAGTGATGCCTGCCTTTTGTAGCCCTGCCCCAACATCTGTCTCCCTATGCAGGCCCGGCCGGGAAAAGCCATTCCTTTTCCATTTCCATGCAGTTATACGAACCCATCTCGCTCCTCATGCATGTCAAGGAGCTTCGCGCTCGGGGCAATTTCCCCGCAACCCTGCTGCCATTTAAACAGAACCCGTGTGCCATTTACGGCGGGCCATAGGCTGCAGCAATTAATTTCACTTCTAAAAAAAGGCATTTTTCTCGCCCGTGACCAGAGGTAGTTCCCATCACTGTGTAGATGGTTTAGTTAGGGTGAAACACCCCAAAACAGCAGATCAGGACCCAGTATCCACAGGGAAGTTGTAGAAAATGCCAGCAGGTATTTTAAAAAATTAAGCATTGTTTTTGTGAAATTTCCTGAAGCTTGCGACAGTTTTTATTAAGACAATACTGTAGTACTAGTAGCTATGATAAAATTGTGTTCTTATAAACATACCTGTAGCTATAGTAAACGCGTATTCTTATAAAACTGAAACATTTGAATAAATAAATATCTGAGGGAGGTTGGTAAGGATGCTGAGTGGACAGAATGGCATAAGTGGCAGCCGAGAGGCCTGAAGTTCACTGAACAGCCACTGTGATAATAAGAGTGGTTAGAGAACAGCTCCAGAAGTAGTTAGAGAGGCTTGAACAGCTTGTATGATAGTTTGATAGTAAAATACCTTCTGAACAGCTCTTAGGGCTGCTAACGAGGGAGAAATATGGAGAAAGCTCCAGCCTGGAGGTTCTGTCCTAAGTACAGATCCCCTGCGACCTGCCAGCCACAGTTAAGTACAGCGTGTCAGAGATAAAAACATCGCCCTGAGGCCTGGATGGAGGTTATATGTTACATAGTAAAGTGCAGCGTGTCAGAGATAAAAACATCGCCCTGAGGCCTGGATGGAGGCTACCATGTTGACAGTCCTGTGCAGCATGTTGGGCATAGATAACAATCGCCCAGACGCCTGAAGAGAGGTTAAGATAGGACCTGGGAGGAAGATATGTTCCTTGGGAGGTAGACCCTGCCTGGCTGCCAATATTACATGTTCATCACTCTGAAGCCTGGAGAGAGGTTATATGTTACATAGTAAAGTACAGCACGTCAGAGATAGAAAACATCACCCTGAGGCCTGGTCGGAGGTTATATGTTGATAGTACAGTTCCCTGTCCTGTGGGGGTAGATAACAATCGCCCTGAAGCCTGGCGAGAGGTTAGGTTTGGAGGGAGATATGGCTGGGAGATATGATCAACATTAGGACCCTGCCTGGCTGCCTTTCTTGGCCTGTGCCTAAAGGGTAGATAACATCGCCCAGTTGCCTGGAGAGAGGTTATGTTGGGACCTGGAAGGTAGATATGATCGCCATTACTGGCGTAAGGACCCTGCCAGGCTGCCAACGTTACATGTTCATCTGAGGCTGGCCTGGGGTGTACAGCATGTATGCATGTAGGGAGATGTGAGGATGGGTGAAGGTAGCATGTTAGGGTTTTTTTTTCCAGAAAAATTTAGCATGAGGGAGAACACTAGCCTGATGAGAGAGCAAAGCAATTTTTTTACAAGAGTAAAAAACAGTTGGTAATGTTAGAATGCATTTTTATGATGTTTTGTTTTTAAATTTTCACTGGACGTCACAAAGACTTAATGCTGTGTACTGTACTAGTATGTAGCCACATAGGGTTCGATCTGAAAATTGATATGAGGGAGCAGCGCCCTTATTCCTCTGTTTAGAAAAACCAGTGGCATGTGCACTGTCACTATTGGAGGCCTTTTAAACATGAGTGGGAATGAGCGATACCTATGTAACTTGTGGAAATGAAAAAATGGAATATTTACGGAACTGTCACGATATTTGTGAAACATTTCGAAAATAACACACCATTTTTTCCATCCCCACACTGTAACATGTTGGAATGAGTGATACACATGTGGGAATGAGTGATACATATCTAACCTGATGGTAGATACGAGCCACTGGTGCGTGCGCAGACTCATAAACACCCGACCAAGACCTGAAATCAAATTAGGTGCAAATCAATGGATCTTTTGGGTATTATACCTTTAACCACGCTGGGGAGTAGCGGGGTCAGTGGTGTAGCCGTTACGCTCTGCCCACTTCGCATGGCAAAACAGAAATATTATTGATGTCTGTCCCGAGTGCCGTGTACCGGTTCGCTGGGCCGGTTCCAGACTTGTAAAAATGTTGAGGTTCAAGCAAAAGAAAAAACAGTACTGAACTTACAAAAAAAAATCATGTCCCATTCCCTTTTTCATTCTAAACCACCTATAGCTTTCTGTAGATTTTTTTTAAAATGTGTACCGGTTCGCTGGGCCGGTTCCAGACTTGTGAAAATGTTACGGTTCAAGTAAAAAGACTGAATGTTTGGGATCAGTTCTGGACTCACAAGAAAAAAAATCATGTCACAGACAAAGAACAAAATCATGTCACATTAACTTTTTCATTCTAAACCATTAAAAACATAGCTTTCCATAGATTAAAAAAAAATTAGCACTGGAAAGTGAAGAAAACATGGGCATTGTCAATTGTGTCAACTTCCGTGATTACGTGGCCATAGTTTCACCCAGACCTGTTGTGCAAACAGTACACCTTAATATATTGCTTCTAAACCCTCAGTAGGGCACTGCAAAATGTTTGCCAACGTGCGATTTTGTATGTGCCATGGGTTTACGTCCGGAACTAAAGACTGAAGTTTGGACGTGAACCTAAACCTCTGGACTTAAATCAGGACCTGAACATAAACATGAGTTTACATGTAGGTACTCAGCAGTATCTGTCCCAACTTTCTGCACAGGGTAGATCATACTAGATGTGTAGCCTCCGTAGCAGGCTTATAGAACTGGGGGTTTGGTGGTCTTGGCTGTTTTCTAATTAGCCCAGTTCTAAAGCACGGGAGTAATTCAACCAGGCCGGCTATGTTGTCTATATGCAATCAGAAAATAGCACATAAAAGCTCCCAAAGACCCTGAAGACCTCCAAAACCCCCAGTTTTTGGCATGCTGTGGAGGCTACAGTACTAGATGTGTTGGTGTGAGCAATTACTGTCAGTATAGCGTAGTCTGTGTTGGGTACCTGAGTTGGTGTGAGTGATTATACTATATTTATAGCGTAGTGGGTGGGTAGGTTAGTTTGTGTGAGCAGAAATTGCAGCGTAGTCTGCGTTGACTACATGACTGATTATAGCGTAGCGACTTGACTGCGGTGGGTAGATGAGTTTTGTGTGAGCAGAAATAGCAGCTTTTTGAAGTGTTGAAGCGTAAGTTACCCTCAGGCGACACTAGACAGTCGAAGTGGACATTCAGGCTTGCTGTGCCTGCAGCTAGTATTTTGGGCTGTTTGGGGGTTGGGAGCGCACACATAAGTTCTCGCTTGGCTATTTGTGCATAGGGGCCCCCTGTGCTGTGATTTAGAATTAGACACCCTATGCTGTGATTTAGACCCCCTATGCTGTGATTTGGGTGTTTTTCGAGGAAAATGTTCATAAATCTTGCAAGAACTGAGCGTGTACAGGCAGGTTTGTCGCTCCTGCAGCTGTATTTTGGGGTATGGGTGTGAAGGGTTGGAAGTTTTTGCTTGGCTTTTTGAGCATAGGGGCCCCCTATACTGAGATTTAGACCCACTGTACTGTGATTTAGCCCCCCTATACTGTGATTTGGGTGTTTTGGGGATGGAGAACCTTCATAAATCTTGCAAGAACTGAGCGTGTACACTCAGGCTTGTCGCTCCTGCAGCTGTATTTTGGTGTGTTTTGGGTCGGCTGCATGCCACTTGTGTGGGACTGTTGGAGCCTGGAGGGTCGTGTTGGGACAATAGCTAATGGCCGCCCCACAAAAGGTCGGCTGTTGTTAAACCTCTGAAGGGTCTCCCTGCGATTCTGCCCACACCTGACGTGCCAAGGACCCAACAAACCTGCCATAATGCAGCGTTCTGATGTGTTTTTTCTGTCAGTAGTTGGGGTAGAGAACTGTCAGATAAAAACGCACAGCAGAAACACATTTCTTACCTTCACCAAGAAGCTTATGTATTCAGTTCAGAGGCATTCATGTGTGTGTTTGTGTGTTTGTGTCTGTGTGTTTCTGTAAACACAATAACTCGAGAAGGCTTTGATGGATAGACTTGATGTTTGGTAGGTGGGTAGGTCTTGATGAGACCTCGAAATGATTAGATTTTGGGTCCCCTAGCGGCTTGTTTGTGTCTGTTCTTCACCTTCCCTTTTCCTGACCATTTGTTTGTTTTTAGCCGTAAGGCCACACCAATTTAATTTCTTGTTTGTTTGTTTGTTTCAGGCAGAAGAAGCCTCTGACCATTGCAATTGTGTTGTGCCTGTTTGTTTGTTTGTTTGTTTGCTGACGATTTATTTGTTTTTTTATTTTCAGGCGTAAGATGCCGCCCACCATCGCCCGGCAGATCACGATGGAGAAGACTCCGAGTTACTTCATCACGCGGGAGGTCCCCGCACGCGTCTACAACATGTCGCGGGACGTCAAGCTCCTGGTCGTAGTTCGCGACCCCGTGACCCGCGCCATATCGGATTACACCCAGACCGTCAGCAAGAAGAACACCAAGAAGTTCGAGGAGCTTGCGTTCATCAACAACGCGACGGGGTTGGTCGACACGTCGTGGAGCGCGATTCGCATCGGGGTCTACGCCAAGCACCTGGAGAGGTGGCTCCAGTACTTCCCGCTGAGCCAGTTCATGTTCGTTAGCGGCGAGGAGCTAATTAGCAACCCGGGGAAGGAGATGGGACTCGTGCAGAACTTCCTGGGGATAAAGAAGGTCGTCAGCGAGAAGCATTTCTACTTCAACCAGACGAAAGGTTTCCCGTGCCTGAAGAAAAAGGAGGGTAGCAGCAGTCCGCACTGTTTGGGTAGAACTAAGGGGCGCGCCCACCCCGACATAGAACCCAACGTGATACAGAGACTACGGGACTTCTACCGACCCTTCAACATGAAATTCTACCAGATGACGGGAAGGAATTTCAACTGGCCGTGAAGAACTCACCTCGGACGCTACAAATGTGCCGGTCGTAGGGCCAGGGATACATACAGTGAAACCAAGAGGTACTCTAGCAGGCAACCTGCTACTGTAGTGTGGAATCCTTATATATTTGTTAGGACCAAACTTGGGCGGGATTGGGTAGGCCAGGTGTTCTGTGGCTGAGCTATCAGCACAATATACAGATGATCATGAAATTTGGGCCTTTTGAGCGTAGGGGCCCCCTACGCTGTGATTTGGACCCCTATGCTGTAATTTGGACCCCTATGCTGAAAATATGCAACAAAAGAAAAACCTTAACTTCGTAAAATCTGTCGCTCAATAGTGTCTCAGGGTTATGTCAAATTTTTTTGTACCTGACCCCTATGCTGTGAAAAAATCCTGGTGAGAACATTGTTATGATACCACAGAACGCCGGTATGACACCACAGAACACCTGGCCTGTCAGAAGCCGCCATCTTGACAGTCAAACATGTGCAAGGTCAGACACTTACCGTAGGTCACCCTCAGAGGAACGACTTTTACCTGTGCAAACTAGACGTCCTGGACACCTGCCGCTCAGGTGTTCCGTTTCTCACCTGTACGCCCAGGAGGGGGCCTGCAGGTGAGAAACACACAGCCCCTTCGTCAGCCATTTCCAAGAAATGAGAAAAAGAGGCAAATCATTCTGAATCTACGGGGCCAACATAGGGGGACCCTGTTATTCGGGCAGATGTGTCCCGTTCTTTACACTGCAAAAAAGCATGTGGTTAACAATGGCTCTAATTCTACTGCAGGTTGTTTCAGAAATATCTAAATAAATTGAAAAACATATTCAAATTTTTATTTTCAAATTTATGAAAAATTTAGAACTCTTGTTTAACCGCGCGGTGACTTGGAATGGACTCTAAAATTTTATTTTTTTCCAAATGATCCAAAATTATTACAATCTTTATTTATAAACCCTCTTACTAGTTAAAGTGACTTGGACTTGACTCTACTGCAGAAAATTTAACCCCTATTTTGGTTCCCCGCAGTTCAGAATGGTTTGCCTCTTCTTGTACAGTTGTGTAATACAAATGTATATATATATTCCTTGCCACATTGGCAACCTACGGGTACGTGTAAAAATACAAATGGAATTTTTGCCCTTGGTGCTCTGTTCTGTATGTATCGGACCATGACAGTAGATAGTGCCTGCTTAGGGTCTAACATTCTCTAACTACTACTACTACTGTACTCTCTAACACCTCCCAACAAAGTCCCGATAAAATCCCGAAATTTCCAGCACTTTTCCTTGCCAACCTCCAATCAAGAAAACCCATACATAACCTAAAATTGGTTTATTGTTTCGATTGTATAACAATACACTAAAATAAAAAACGTTTAACTCGGTGTCTAGCCTAACCAGAAGTGGTACAGCCAGTCCTAGAGGTGCTTTTCAGACCTGGTTTGCTGAAATGAACAAAATCCCCTCCAAAAGTCTAACTAAAGTCAACTTCCCCAAATGGCAAGAAACTGGTTCATGAAAATATTGAAACACAAAAGTTTCCTTCCACACCTTTTTCTGTTCTGAACCATCAAAGGTGCCAGGTCTTCTCAGTAACCATTTGACAGGAATAGGATATATGAGTTTTCTTTTACACAACCAAACTTGTCTTGCCCTGTTTGTGTTTCAGTGTCTATCAGACACCTTCCTCAGAGCTTCTGACTGGAGTTCTGCTTCTCACCACTATATCATATGTAGTAGCAAGGTAGGAGAAGTCTGGTTGTGTAAAAGGAAAACTCCTATCTCCTATACTCTTACCAGCCTGCTGAAACTATTTTTTGGGAAATCTGACCGGAATGTCTGAAATTTGCCCCTTCAGCAGACAAGTTCCTGACACAAGAAGTTTTCCACCTGCCCAGTTCCTTAGGGAATGTCTTAAAGATGCAGGTGTGCGGAAGGAGGAATTTTTCTGCAGGACCAGTGTGGGTTTTCCTGCCATGTCATTTCCTCACTATCAGGGATCAGCTTGCCACTTTCCGGGTACACGCAACAGTACTAGTACCCTACTCCAGATTGTCAGAAATTCTGCCACAAAACAAGAAATTCTGCCACAAAAGAAGAAATTCTGCTACAAAACAAGAAATTCTGCTACAAAATAAGAGATTCTGCTACAAAAGAAGAAATTCTGCTACAAAACAAGAAATTCTGCTGCAAAACAAGAAATTCTGCTGCAAGATAAGCAGTACTATGCTCTCAGATATTCTGCTACAAAACTAGCAGTACTAGAAATTCTGCTACAAAACAAGAAATTCTGCTACGAAACAAGCAGCACCTAAAATTTTTGCTACAAAACAAGCAGTACCATGCTCAAAGAAATTCTGCAACAAAACAGGCAGTACTATACTCTTACATGAGGTTTATTGACAACAGAGAGCCTGATTTTTTTTTACCCGGCAAACTTACAAATTGTCTCTGAAGGGGCAGTCTTGATTTTCTGGAGGTTGGTATCCAGTAGCCTGATGGTGCAACATTTCTCCTGTGTCCTGTGCAGGACTAGAGCAGTCCTGTTTCACAAATATGTGCCGTGTTTGGAGGTTAAACAGACCCCTGCTAACTATGTTGATTGCTGAGCCATGGTATTAAATATTGTTTCTCTTTTCCGAACTAACTAAACAGCACTAATCTGTTTACTCCACGTCTTCCGACTGTTTACAGTATTTCTGTTGTTGTTATTGTTGACTCGAGCCTTCTTCAGGGCGGGTGCTTCCTTTCGCAGGAACTTCAGGGATTACGTTTTCTGTTAGACTTTGGGTAGAAAAATGAACTCTAATTAGCAAATTTCTGTACATGTTTGGTAGTGTTACATCTACATTTGCAGGAAAGTGGTCTTCCGTGAGTAAAGAAGCTATTTTTTTACACAACCAAGTTTTTATTCACAGCCGACGTTTCGGTGACCGTCTGTCACCTTCCTAACTGTTTCATGTCAGCTGTGAATAAAACCCTTGGTTGTGTAAAAAAATAGCTTCCTTACTCAGTGACTTACCAACCTGATGAAACTATTCACGGAAGTGGTCTTCCATGTTACTGTTACTGGTGTTAGTTTGAATTCTAGTCATTCCTTCCCCACCATGGCAGTGGTAGCAACATGAACATGTCAGTGTTACCGTGTTTGTTTCTGTGTCATACATTCCCTACCTTCTGTCCCTGAACTCTGTTTGTATATAGTTTCCTCGAATAATATTTATACTTGGGGTCTGGATTCCGAAGAGTCTGTTGATGTAGAGAGCGAACCACGACAAAACCCCACCAACTTGTACATTTCCTATGTGTGACATTCACACGCCAGAGAATTAAATGACACTATTTTCTTGGAGAGATTTTTGTGTTGGCCTGTTGTTTATAAGTGTTGAAAGCTGGGTGTTACTGGGTCAGTAAACTGGAGTCTGGTTTGTAACAGAGACTAACAGTGTTTAGAGAAGGAAGACAACTTCCATACATAACCGACCACTGACTGTTACAACATGCTGCAAACTTCCATACATAACGGACCACTGACTGGTACAACATGCTGCAAACTTCCATACATAACGGACCACTGACTGGTACAACATGCTGCAAACTTCCATACATAACGGACCACTGACTGGTACAACATGCTGAAAACTTCCATACATAACCGACCACTGACTGTTACAACATGCTGAAAACTTGGTAGTCTCCAACAGACTCTTTTGCAGGCTGATTAAATACAATATAGATATCAGCCTAAAATGAATGTATGCAGGCAAACTGGACCCTCTATGGCTGGCCAACTCCCCTGGACAGCTTTTTTTTTAGGCCGATTTCTAACCTTTATTCAGCCTGCAAACTGGACCCTCTATGGCCAGCCAATTTCCTTTCTTTTTTTTTTCCAATTTCTACTATTTATTCAGCTTGCAAAAGAGTCTGGTGAAGACTAGGAAAACTTGGCAGGTTTTAATTGAATTAACGGGAACTCGAATGGTTTATTCTGAGATTGTATAAAAAAAGCTTCCTGTTGGGACCTTTTTTTGTTTGGTGCTAACAATAGGAAGGTCATTGGTTACACCCGAGTGGAGAGACGTGTGAATTGTTCTGACCTGTGTGTAGATTCCACAGCATGCCAAAAACTGGGGGTTTTGGGGGGATCTTCATGGTCTTTTGGGAGCTTTTATGTTGCTATTTTCTGATTGCATATAGACAACATAGCCGGCCTGGTTGAATTACCCGTTTAGAACTGGGCTAATCAGAAAACAGCCGAAGATCACCAAACACCCCAGTTCTATAAGCCTGCTACGGAGGCTAACCTGGGTTTTCCTGTTATGTTAATCCTGCATTTATAGGACCAAAAAATATAACCTCCAAGCAGATTTTGCTGTGGCATAGTTGTAAGCAATCAACCAATCACCCAAATACAAGTAAGAAGGTACATGTATAGTCAGATGTAAGCTTTCCTCTCAGTCCTGCATTTTCAGTATGTTCTCTTTTTAGAATTTTACTTGATTGTAGACGGGGAACAACAGACGATAAACCGGACAGTGAGTGTGTGTGAGTGAGTGAGTGTCTGAACCCTGGAAGCCAGTTATGTGGCCTGAACCCTGACAGTCATGGCTGTTCCCTGTCTGAACACCATTCCAACAGTTGGCCGCACACCTGCAACTACTTCAAACTTGGCCCCAGGCCAGCCCTCCATATAAACCCAAACCTGTAGCTGTTGTGCACCCTACCTAAAAATTGGGTGCACAAAAAATATTTTAGGTGCACCAGATTAAATAAGTAGAATGTCTTTAAAAACTATGATTATGTTTAATTTCAAGGACAGTACTATAACAATGATTGTATTATTTTTTCTGACACTTCGATGTTAAGAATATGCTGTAACTACTATATATTTAACATCTTTACATACGTTAAACCTATGAAAATATTGGATGCACCCACAGAAAAAATTGGGTGCACAGCTCCAAATTTGTATTTCAAGCCCTGATAAGCCACCCTAAACACCCATGCAGGAATGTCAATGAGGATTCCACTTACTCTGTAAGCAGAGGTTTGGGTTTTGGCTTATTTTTGGCATGTTTTTAGGCTTTCTTTTTTTTGCATCAACCTAATGAAAAAAAATTCCAGTGCAAAAGCGAAACCCTGATAAAAAGCCTAAAAACATGCCAAAAACAAGCCAAACCCCTGCTTGGAGAGTACAACATGTAGATTCCGGTGTTGTCCCACACGGGTTAACTGCCCCTGGCACAATAACCCACCCCAAACACCCATGTAGGACTGAGGATTCCACTGTTGCCCCACGCAGGTTAACTGTTGCCCCAGCCAGCCCCCTGCTATAACCCACCCCAAACACCCATGCTGGACTGAGGATTCCGGTGTTGTCCCACGCAGGTTAACTGTTGCCCCAGCCCTGATCCTCTGCCAGGGAACTGCAGGCAGTCGGACAAACAAGCCTGACAAATTAAGAACACATTACAATGGGGTAATTTATTCATTCACAGCAATACCCATTCAGAAGTGGCCATCCACCCGCCCAGGTAAACACGCCAGGTGTAAAGATCGACTTAGCGCCCAGGTGAGAAGTGGCCGTACCTGCCATCGATTCCCCATTAGCACACCTGTAAACCTGACAACACCTAGCCTCCGCAGCAGGCTTATAGAACTGGGGGTTTGGTGGTCTTCGGCTGTTTTCTGATTAGCCCAGTTCAAAAAACAGAGGTAATTCACCCAGGCCGGCTTTGTTGTCTATATGCAATCAGAAAATAGCACACAAAAAACTTCCAAAGATCCCAAAACCCCCAGTTTTTGGCTGCTATGGAGGCTAGCAACACCCTTCTGCAGGAGCCTCCCTCATGAATAAATTAGCATGTAAAATGCCAGCGTTTCCCCCTGATGTGATTTGGTAACTGTCGCTGGAGTTAGGCCCCCGCCGCCGGGGTGAACTTTGGAAGCCACAGGACAACCAAACAGGCGGATGAACTGCGTACTCTCCAAGCAGAGTCGGGGTTTGGCTTATTTTTGTGTGTTTTTAGGCTTTAGGGTTTCTTTTTTGCACTGGATGGGGGAAAATTCCAGTGCAAAAAAGAAGCATGCCAAAAATAAGCCAAAACTCAAACCTCTGCTTGGAGAGTATTACAGGGTGAGTTTTTGGTGGTTACTGAGGTGTTAAAGTTCAAGGTGAGCAGTAAGCACTGAAATCTGCACAGAAATAGTTTCCAGTGGCCGTAGAAATACCCTTTTTCAGCACACTACAATATTGAAGCAGTACAGCACCCGGTGTTCCCAGGTGGTCTCCCAAGAAGCCAACAAACAACACAATATTGAAGAATGCCAAAATTTTGTTCTGCAATTAAGAAATACTTTATGGAAATTAATAAGTCTGGCCTTAAATCCACATCACATACAAAATTGCATGTTTTACATACAATTTGAAAAATGCATGCAAAATTACTAGTATATCATAAACATAGATATCAGTGCCACTTAGTAGTAACTGACCCAAAGGCTCTTAAACAATATTATACCAACACCATAGAACCCCTAGTCTGCAAAATTCCAGGTGGCTTAATTTTTCTTCTGCAATATTGAAAATGTCTCTGCAAAATGCGGCCTGCAGATGGGTATTTCTAACACTGGTTTCCCGCAGACTGCTTATAGAGTTGCTGGTTAGACATGACGACAGAACTCCCCATAACAAGGCAGCTGGACCTTTTCTGTCGGCTGTTCAGTATCTCGTCTCGAATTCCTTGCCTTACCTAGAAATACGTCCGCTCTATTTTACACAGAGAGACCAAACATATCCTCTAGCTGTGGGATTTTGTCCCCATGCAGAACTCCATGGCTCATATAATAATGAAAAATTCTCTTCAATTGTATTCAAGAGTATTTCCCTAGTTTAAGATTTTTAGATAGAAAAGAAAAATTCACTTTCCTCATGAAACTCGATAATCCTCATACTATAAGCTCCATCTGTTCTTACATTTACAATCAAGAAGAAGCGGAACCTGTACATATGTAGTTTTACTATAGATATATTTTAGTCAACCATCGCTATCTACCATGACCTGTACTTAGTTCGCAATGGGCAAAAATGTACAATAAGGGTCTTTATGTAGCAGAAACAAATTTGGGAAAGAACTATATCATGTCTACACAGGATTGTTTCCGTTCTGTTTTGCTTCGATAAGACTTGACAGGGCTGGAAATACTGGGTGCATGTACACCTTAGTCAGTGCACCCAAAATTGGAGCTGTGCACCCAATTTTTTTTTACGGGTGCACCAGTGGACCCAAATATTTTCTTAGGTTAAACGTATGTAAAGATGTATAGTAGTTACACTGCATATTCTTATCATCTAACGTTAAGTGTCAGAAAAAATCATTATTAATATACTAGAAATGAAACATAATTATAGTTTTTGCTGACATTCTACTTATTTCATCTTAAATATGGTGCACCTAAAATATTTTTGTGCACCCAATTTTTTAGGTTGGGTACACCTATTCCCAGAAATGAATTTCGAGCCCTGACTTGATTTCTTAGTTTTCATTTTGCAGAAACAAATTTGGGTAAGAAGTGCATCATGTCTACACAGGATTGTTTCTATTCTGCTTTGCTTCGATAAGACTTGAGAAGAAGAAGGAAGGGGAGAACCAATCTTCTGTCTGGGAACAGTGAATATTCACAAGGTCGGATTAACACTTCATGCAAAGCTTCATAATTGGTTTTTGTGTGCTGGAAAAAGTGGATTTTCGGATTTAGCCGTAATCAGCATTGTCACTGCCATTCACATGCAGCCCTAGCAGCTGGCTGGTGTGTAGTAATGGGGGGATAATAGTTGCCCCTCACTGGACCGTCTTGGGAATTGTTGTCTGTGTTGTTAACCGTCCAACAATGCTGGGAACACGAAATGATCAGGCTGGCAAACATGTCAAGAACCACTTTATTCCGTGTAGTCAAGAGTCCTGCAAACACTTGGAGACGGTCTTCAGCAGGACAAGGACGCTTCTCAAGTGTCTTACGGAAAGTGGATTATGACTGAACCCAAGTGGAACAAAACTAGGCTCCATAGCACGCCAAAAACTGGGGGTTTTGGGGTCTTCATGGTCTTTGGGAGCTTTTATGTGCTATTTTCTGATTGCATATGTTAGGCAACATAGCCGGCCTGGTTGAATTCCCCCCGTTTTTAGAACTGGGCTAATCAGAAAACAGCCGAAGACCAGCAAACCCTCAGTTCTGCTACGGAGGCTAGAACAAAACCACGGGGATTCAGAATGAATCAGATCAAGGAGCTTTCATCATCATGTGATGAAAGCTCCTTGATCAGATGCGGCACGGAAAGGTTTTTGGGAA